TGCCTTGTTGAGTGCTGTGATTTTATTTCGGAGGGTATATGTTCGCTTTTAAGCGAGACAAGCGAATTTTGCACATGAAAAATAAATGAACCGTTAAATAATAGTTTGCACTGAATCCTGCCTTAATTACTGCATATAAATGGAACATTTCAGCTGTTCGTTGTGAAAATTTCAGATATTGCACTATAGCGGACAAATAACTGATGCCATTAGGTAGAAATTATTACAGTTTTTAAACTGTGTGTAAACGACCCAGGCCAAATAAACGATTTTTTAGTACAAAATTTATGTAATTTGACAGTTGTCTGTCAAACATCTTAGGCTGTTTGTCGGTTGAGAACGAAAAAAATTAAGTCAGCCAAAAGTGTAAAAAACAAAACAAAAAAAATGAAATTCGCTGCTCTGTTCAATATCTTCATCTACGTTGTTGACGTCACAGACAGGCGGCTCAGCGATCAATTCACTAAGTTACAAATATAAACTGCAATCTGCCAGGAGTAAGATTAGAAATATTTGGATTCAATTTTATGAGTCATTGATTTATTTTCCATTTGGTCAAGGTAGAAATAACTTCTTCCTCATCAACGACATTTCTCAGTTCGTGTATTATTTTCGGCTCTTGTTCAAGTTATTTAGGTTGATTTTACAATAACGTGTCCTGGTACGCCAATAACTGTTTCTTTTATTCTCAGTATGGTCTTCAACAAATTCAAAAATGCAGTGTTTATTGACTTCCGCTAACGCTGACCTTGGATTTCACGACAAGTGTGACGTCCAAGGGCGTGGAAATAATCGATCGACTGGGCGGTGGAAAATTAATTTGACCAAACAACAATGAAAGCGCTTCAAATGAAGAGTGAGCCACCCATGCAATAAAGGCCCATGAATGAGAAGAACAGAAACAATCGATTCCTAAATTTTAAGAAGACCAGCCAGTCAAATGTTGAGTTTAAAACAATTGAATCTCGACTTGTTCAAAGATCGCTGATATTCACGTAACTTTAGTCTTGGTTAAAGTTCAAACTGTTGGCCTCTCAGTACTTCCGTTTTCTTATGAATTGCTGGAGAAGGAATTGATTTGAAAGAGAAGAACTGCAAAACAGTGTCACTCGTGAACTAATATCAGCAAAGTGCATGCAGGCCTGTCGGAAGAGAGGCCATGGAGATTGTATATTCTGTTGACTCGATCAATAATTTGTCCTCACTAATTATACATTCCTTTTTGATGTCAGAAACTACAATTTGATCAAGACCTTTAACAAACTCGGCGTCTTTTTCTGCCTCAGGGAGACTTCAACTTTTTTTATTATTATATCCATTAAATGTTTCGGGCAACTTTTCTGAACACCTACGCGCTAAGTCAATGGTAAGCGGTCAATTTTTTCCAAATTTTCAACTTTAACATCAAAATGAACCAACAGAACTCAATTTTAGCTAATAAAATCTCTAGTTGTAAGGGATTATTTCAGGACAAAACAGTATTCGCCAGAAAATCACATGAGAGGGTAGACAATCAGATAACTCGAGATTAGATTTTTTTGAAAAATTTTCCTTTCCAGCCTCCATACTTTTCCATACAAAGAGAGGAAAGAATTTGCTCTTCTATCACGATGGCTATAAATAACTGGTGTGTTTTTTTTGTTTGTTTGTTTTTTTGCTTTTTTGTTTTTGTGCTACCTGTTTGCGTAATAATGTGTTTGATATTGTGGGCAGAAGTTACAAGTTAACACTAGGGGAGTAAAGGGTGTAACAATAATCACTCTCCTCAGAATGTTCTGTTTGGTAAACGAGCTCTTTGTTTGACGCATGGGTGGATGTGTGAAGTTCAGTGGCTCTCGCACTGTCTTTTTTTTTCTCTTGATAAAGATTAGTTCAAAAAAACTTTTATGATTTATCTGAAGTGAACTATTTTTATCAATTCAACAAAGAAGAAAGCACGTAGCACGATTTCTTTAGAAGAAGGTGCTACGTACCCGGCAAAAAGCAGCAATTTTAGAGAATAATTAACCTTAAGACAATGAAATTTATCACGAAATGTTATCGGTTTCATTGAAAGTTAAGCTCGCTGCAACGCGACTTGTTCACTAAAGGATCATTATATAGAGCGCAGGTGAAAATGTTAAACAGATTCCCTTCTTTAGACGTTGTAAAGCTATAGTTTGCTTTAAAAGGACTGAAAGTGTTGGCTTTAATTGTCAGATGGTGAAATCATTCGTGCCACAATTTTGTTTTTCCTAATTTACTTTCTTTTCTTACTTACAAAGTACTTCATAGATTGGTTCTTAGTATTTTGTAGAATGATATTGAACATTGACAAAGATATATTATAGACTTATGCCCTGTTTTTTTTTTTGTTTTGTTTTGTTTTTTTTACTATTTAACTTTTATCGAATCGATTCTTAAGTTTTCAAATTCTTAAAATGTGGGCCTTCCTAAGCTATGTAAATACTCTTTGTCTTTAGAACATTTCCACGATTAAATGAGCGCAAAATGAAGAAAACAAAGTTTGAAAACTGCGAGATTTAATTGTCAGTATGGTTACACAGACGTCTTAATTCCATGTAGCAGGCTATTTGTTTGCCTGGATTCCCTTGCCACAGTGTGTCTTTCTCAAGTGTTGTTGAAGAAAAAAACGTAGCTAACTTGATTTAGCACTTTATCTCAAAAAGTAAACAGTTTACTGCCTTAACTATATCTCAAAGCCATAGAAATTTTGAACATCGAGAGTTAAAATGACTTCCAACATCGTCCCTTTAAAACCGCGCTAGGACTTTTTCGGCGAAAATTTCGATGTAATAAGTAATTTTTTTTATTATCATTATTTTTGTAGTTGTTACACAGTATTTTACTGATAATGGGAATGATTCACTACTTAACAGATGTGATCATGCCAGCTTTTCTATCGCTATATCTGCAAGCTGTTGTATCTATCACGAACCGATAACCGTCGCCTTGAAAATCGTGAGATCCTATCTTTTTTGAAATTGAAAAAAAAATTTTTTCACAACCTTATTGGCACTGAGATCCGATCTCTAATCGGAGATGTTGATGATTACTTTTAAAGAAGTTAACAGGCGTTTTTGCCATGAACGCGAGCCTAAAAAATAACTGTCTTGTTTTAATTTTTTTAAACAAATCGAATTCAGTTGCTACGGGAAACCATGCCGAAGTGTTTTATTTACGTCCGAAAACTTAAATTTTTTTTGTTTTTATTCTGGTAAAAAAAAATTCCATAGAATTATAACTAGTTTGGAACAGAGATGAACACTATCAATTTTAATCAAGTATTTCTAACAATCTCGCCTGGCAATCACGGCTCGCAGATACATTTTTTTTTTCCTGTTTTGAAAAAATCAATCCACCATCTGGCAATCTCCTCATCGATAAGAGAACTATTCATTAAATGTTATTCTTAATTTTTATCAGGCACATCACCAATATTGCTTTAGTTGCTAGCAGATCTAAGCGAAAAAGTTAACATTGGTGCATATCAGAACTTTTTAAAATTTCTGCTTTAAGACTTAGTAACTTGTAAGGGTCACAAAGCACAGTTAAAAAAAATTGTCGTGTGTTCTTTATAGGCTGTGATGGTTTTAAACGAGATATAACCGGGCCAGGCAAGAAAACCTTGTTCTCGGTTGTAATGTTTTCCGGTCATTCGTAATGTTGACGAAAAAAAAGACGTACTCGAGAACCAGATGTTTGCCTTCCACTGTGGTTCTTTAACATCAGTATTATGAAATACTGAAAGTACCTACTGACACAGTGTTGATTTTTAAACTTAGACTACGGAGATTTCCTATGCTTTGACACGTAGCCATGGCAACCTAATCATCATCAGTGCTGCACGAAAAAAGCATTTTCGATTATCCATATACGACACAAATGCAAACATCGGCCTGTGTGTCTTTTATAATAGAAGTGACATTTCAATGTTTTCTTTTCCTCGATTTTAAGTATACTTTCGAAGAAAACCAAATTAAAATTTAATGGTCACGTTCGGAAAATCTTACTTTAGCACTCGAACCAAATCTTAATATGAATATGATATCACGATTAGAAAAATTTATGTGGTTTATGTTCGCTCGAAATAACGCTGACTCGCCTGGGTTCTAGCCACTTAGTGCCTTTGCTATTTCACAACTTACCTTTACTTCTTTAAAATTCAAGACGCTGAGACTGAATTTAAATGGGTCCTTCATTTCGGCTTGAATTTGCATTTTGTAAACAAGCACGGTTTGTAATATATCTTTGCTATTAATGTGCGTTTTTTCTAACGCCTACGTAGCGCTGACTTCTTAGGACTCTTTCGCCGCTTAGAAATAAAAACAATGTTTTTTGTGTTATTTTCTTGCGGTTATACCGCTAAAAGTAAAAAAGGAAAACATACTCACTTGATATTATGCGTTCAGATTTGTGAGTCAAACAGCTAGTACCTCGCCATGTGCCAGCCGGCTGTCTCGAAATTTCGGCTCAGCTTTTTTAAGCTGACTCTCAAGGACGTACACCATTTTTGTTCCTTTATTTTATTGTTTTGTCGTTTTCCTTTTTCTTTGTTATTTTTACTAAAGTACATTAGGCCCTATTTCTTACCAGGCACTGTAGAAAAACTAAAGGCAATTTTCAATCAATGATACTGGTATTAGGACTGAGTGATAAGTACAATCACTACGCAGTAAAGCCGCAACCTGGATACCGAGGAGATTGGGAGAATTTTACATTTCCATTGCTCTTTCTGAGACGCGCGTTTTATTCCCATCCGAAGCAGAAGATCTTTGAGAGCTTCTCAACAAATCTTTGCCACGTAATTATTTCACGACGCGGTATAATTTTGATATTTAATTTCGCTTCGCCGCCGAGACGAATCGTTATCGAACACGGCGAGTTGATAACTCGCCATATTTATTATGCGCATTCAGTTCACACTGATAATTTTAATATATATATTTTTTATATAGATTTCTGTCTCCAAGTAGGATATCAATACCTTAAAGACTTACCTTGATTAAAATACTGATGCGATGGCTTCAAAAAACCTTTAAAGTAATGAACCTCTTTAGTCCATGCTTCACGAACATAGCAAAGAGAATCTCGTCCTCGATTTTCTGTGTAAAGATCGCGTTCGTTAATACAGCTGCTCCTGTTCACATCAATAGCAGCGAGTTTATTTCAGCTTTTCCCCTTTTTCTTCGCGTGTAATGCTTTCCGGTTTTAAAGTCAAGAATTCTTTTCTTTTACAAATAGAAGAAAACGCCTGAGTTTTAAATATGGCCTCGTTTACAAGCACGGCGCTGCGCTCATACAATTGCAAATATGTTTCCCAGGTAACAAGTGTTTTGCCTATCTTTTACTCTTGCCGGTGTCAACTTGTCACCGAAACGGCAATTATATCCTACAGGTGATGAACAACTTTACTAGACTTCAATTTACCAATCATTTAGTCGATGAGCGAAGAAGGCAATAAACTCTGAGTAATTTCTTTCTCGTATTTTGGAATTCATCCCAACGAAATGTCATTGGCAATTAGATACACAATTTAGCGACACTCATGTGTTTACAAACCAGCCCACCGCAAAATAAATATGGTAATTTCATTAGGCCAGGAAAAAAAAAGGAATTTCTCGCTCGAAAAAGCGCTTGTCGCATAGATGCTAGGGTCAGTTTTAATTCCCTTGATAAACGGATAACGATTTTTGGAGAAATTGAAACTGGCCACCGTACTTTACATTTAAATGAACCTGGCATGAATAATTTGTAATATTTTGTCTTCATTTAACGTTACCAAGGGATTGGACGGAATGATATGTGTATTTGTTCAGTTGTTAAGCTTCTGTCTACCGAGACACTACTTGTTAAATATAAGAATTTCAATTTTGGCATAGTTAAGATAAATTGACAACATTAGAGGTTAAAATTCTAATTTTTTTAAAATCAATAATTATCATTGATATCTTTTTTTTCGAAGTGAGATTTTGCGACATGTTACATTTTATGTTATTTGGCTGTGCTGACATTTTATTGACATTTTGCCGCTGGGATTAAAGGATCATATACAATTACAATTTCAAAGAACGGCAGCGCGAAAGTATATCCCATGTTTCATTCGTTTTGGCTAGAGCAGAAATCTTGTCAAAACCGCAAGCCCAGAGTCAAAGAAAATTATAGACAACCCGTTGTTCTGTGTCATTTTCGTATTATTTCATTTTATTTTTTTTAAGTGAACGTTATTGAAGTTAGCGATTCGGTATATTATAAAAATTTATAACCTTCGGCGTTTTAATAGAGAAAGAGAGCGGAAAATTGCCAGACGCAGGTGCTCGTTCAAACCTCATCGATATCCAGCGTCGATATCCTTGCAAAATAAAAGACGTACATTTCTGAGAAAGAGGTGGAGGAAAAAAATTTGTTTTAATTTTTCCCCTCTTTTCGGAAAGATAAAATTTTGTTCTTGGCTCTTGATCTTATAATTGTGATGTTTAGGGAGTTGATAGGAATGCTTAAGGTGGCGTTCAGACAACGATAAAAATTTCAAACATATTTTGCTTAAGGTTCCTCTCATTCTTAAAAAGCTAACATACGCACACATCTAAAAAACTGAAAATATCACTTGTTCATGGCAAGAGAGGACAACCTTATTTTGGTAAAGATGCTATGGGATTACGGAGGAGCGTGCAATCTTTTTGGTAGAGAATCTTGTTTTGTCTTGCGATCATCACGCAGGAGGTGATTTTCGAAAGGGTTATTACGAAATTTTTTATGTTTTTGGAGAAGAAAATCAACAGTCTAGTCATCAGAGTAAAGACACTTATTATTTTTCTCAAGCTCAGCGAACAGAGTAGAGCAAAGATGGCAGAAAGGAAAAGGCAAAATTTTTTGATTTGCTGTCAGTTTCGTAATCACAAGGTCCCCATCGCTCAGATTAAGAGTTCACGTTCCATACTGCACCTGCGAAAATGTTTTTTCAACAAGCAGAAGCTATTTCAATTTAAACCTTACCCTATGGCTGTGTTTAAATGATTTATAAAGAGATTTCGTGATTGGCTGCATATCGTTCATCTTCAGTTTTTTACATTTGCTCCTTGCGGGGACATCGAAAGCAATTTTAAATCTCCGTGGGAAAGAATCATCTGAAAATTACCTCCCTCATACACCTTTTGCACGAACACATGCGTGCTCTTGAAGAGGTGAATGAATTATATGTTGTGTCAGTTAGAATGTTATTTCATGCTGCTACTTTTCCAGAGTTTGTCATCAAAACTGCGAGAGAAAAACTATTAAAAAAGTACTATAAGCACTAACTTGAAAGTGACTTAACAACAAACCCCCTGGATCGCTTGTTTCTGGCAAAAAGGTGCAATTGATAAGATGGGATGTGGGGGTGTTTGCCTTCAAGCCTGTTGTCTGTGTGCATCCCTACTGCGCACACTCAATCTACGGTAATTTGAATAGGGCTTTGAAATGGTTGGAAAATATCGAGATCCGGATCCTTAGCTCAGACTGGCTGAATCATCAGTAATGATTGTGTCGAGTGTAGATGGAGCTGCTTTGGAGAACTTGGACCCACGTCTCGTGCAAGAACTGATACGTGAATTTCGTTTACTGTTTGGTATGTCAAACAAAGGCTTTGTTTAACATTTGAAAGACAGGTGTGAAATTCCAGTCTGACAATCTGAATAAGAATTGCTGTTTGAATTAACAGTAACCATCTAAAATTTTATGGACAGATTTTGAGGTGGGATAAAATTTTATTACCTGACTACTTAAATACTTACGTGGGATTGGTCTCATTTGCAGCCGTCGTTTGATTTCGTCTCATAAGCGTAACGTGACCAAACCGACGGCTGCTATAATGAAAAATAGGTTCACTCCTTGTGCAAGTGTCGGTGGGAACTACGTCCTTTTGGTTTGGTGCGCAAAATGTGCATCTCATTGTTTTGCTGAGATAAAATACGAAGAACATAGAAACTCATCATTAAATACAGGAAAGTCCTTTCTTGAAATAACTCCACATAACAAAGAATTGTGTGTATTTCCACTGAAATCAGAAACGATGCTCGATACATACTGAAGTTAGGAAGATATGGGTAAGAAGAGTAGTTGTAATCTGTTTGAGATCATACTTTCAACTGAAAATTTGAATAAAGTTAGATCAAGCAAACAAGAATTAATGTAAGAGGAGGAAAATTAAAAATAAATAACAGTTAGATCCCCTCCTCCCGTTGAGCAATTACAATTATGCAGTTGACGAAGCGAATACCATCTTGACGTCCCCTTCTCGAGGATTATAAAATGTTTTATTCTGATTCGTGTATGGCTGTGACTCAGCTGATCAACGTTGATTGACCAAATGTCGGCGAACTGCCGTATGAGGGAAATTTTAATTTACCTTTCACGAGCTAATATTTACTATTTACTTTCACGAACCCTTTGGATTAATGCTTTCCCTGCGCACACCCTGCCATTGGTCGAGATGAGATTCCACTGATTACCTGAAACAATGATCTGACTGCTTGAATAAAGAGAGTGTTACCTACATAATGAAAAGTATGATTGCACGCAGATCTGAAGATTGTGAGAAGAGTTGACTCAGAGATATCTCTCCCTAAGATGCTATCCTTTGTGAGTATTTCCACTTTCTTTGGAGTTGAATGGAAGGCTTTTAATTCTTCAATTATACTCATCGATAACACTGTTTCGGACTGTCTAATGGCAGAAAAGGTTTCAAATTAAACAGCTGTCGATGGTTAAATCAACACTTAAATTTTTGATAAAAAATCGTTACTCAGTCAGTGATGCCCTCATGAAGCAACGGTGGTCGCTTAGGGTTTTGTTGTTCCTGTTGCCTTGATTCTGTGGTTTTCACTTTCTATCTAAGTTGTGTTTAACACACTAGAAGAGTAAAGAATGAATACACACCCCTGTATCTACCAAAAAGCCTCTTTGATATGTGTATAAAAGGCAAATGGAACATCTGCTGGGCCAGAGTTCAACTTACACAAACTGTCACTTTTACCAATTCGTTTTTAAAAATCAAGCCATCAAAATAACCCGCAGCAAAAATTGAAAAAGCACAATTAAAACACAATGTGACGCTAATCAACACTCAGCGATTGGCTCTATGATAATCAGACCTTTATCTACACAAAGATAATGTTTTAGTATTCCGGTTTAAAGAAACGATCTCTATCAACAGGCAAATAATTCGACTGACGTAGGTACAGTTATAACTACCTTTTGTGGGTCAATACGAGATCTGCAAACTTCTGCCTCTCTTGTTTGTTCTGCTGTTTGGGTTTTATGGTTTATTTCCGTGACTAACATCGTGTTTCAAAACGTCCGAGTAAAGATCGATTCCTCTTCAAAGGTAAGAGCTTTTATTTTCGTAATCACTTATCCTTCAAGGTAAGACAAATCGTGACTTGAATCAATTTTATTTCTTTTTTTAGGAGTTAGCGGTCGATGATTCAGTCCAAGCAGCTGGGTAATAACAGTGTTTAAAGCAAAGCAAAAACCTTCTTGGAACAATGAAAAAACTGGTTCAGTTATAAAATAGAACCAATGATATGAACCTTATTCATTATGCATTCGTTACTGTTGATAAGAGGGCATCAATTGGATGTATTTCAAATGTAACATCTTCACATCCTGATCCACACTCCTATCTCACTAAAGCAGAATCGTTTGAAATTTGCCTCGATGAAAGATTGGTTGATCAAACAATCGCTTTCGACCCACCGAGTGATCAGCCTGCTCTTTAGCTCCATGAAACCTTAAATCGTGAACATCTACCTAAATATGCAACTGTATCTAAGTCAGTCGCTCCCTACGCATAATTCAGTTATGTTATAATTTTCTTGCAGAACATTCATGACGCAAAACGTCTATCGTAGCCTTTGGTTTACTTTATTTGCGGTTCTCGCCGGAAGTGGTTAGTATCATCACGACAATCACAAGGGTTACTGATTACGTGATTACATGGTATTGTAAGTTGGTATGAATTGACAAAACTGACCATCTGACTGACTTTCTAGCTCACACTGACAAACTGACTGACTGGAAAATTGACAGAGTAACTTGCTGATTGACTGGCGGGCTGGATGGCTCGCTGGATAGCCAGCACGCAGACTGACTGACTCAGCAATAGCCGAGTCCAAGTTCATCCGACGTGAAATAAAGGGCCGAGTTATAAAACTGCAAGATTCACCCCTGTTTCCTTACCTTTTCCAGGCAAAGCAAATTCTCCATCGTCAAGAACTTGGGGGGTATGTTCATCTCACGAGCAATGTCAAAATGGAGGAAGTTGCTTAAATAAAAGTTGTCTTTGCGCTTACGGGTATACCGGCCCAATCTGTGAATATAAACAACAATGCAATAAAAA